TTGGAGGTGAAGAGGTGGTTAACTATTATATTTTGTCTCTTTTCAGCTGGCCCGCACATAGGACGTTATTGTGGGCAGAACAACCCAGGCCGCGTTCGCTCATCAACAGGGATTCTTTCAATGGTATTTTACACCGACAGTGCAATAGCAAAAGAGGGATTCTCAGCAAACTACAGTGTGTCACAGAGCAGCATATCAGAAGGTCAGTATTTACCAGTCCTGCAGAGCTCCTTGGAAAATATTCTGTTATGTCTCCTTTCACACCAGGTAGCACATGAAACTTTAAAGAAACCTTAAATAAATAAGATGATGGAGAGGGATGTTTTTGTTCTTCTTCTGTTTCCAAAGAGCAGCTACCCTTTGAAAATCAATGCAAGAAGCAGATTTCGCCTCACAGTAGTATTTCTCCATATTAGCAGGAAGTTGAAAGAATTATTGTAAAAAACTGTGCTGACCAGGAAAACCAGGAATGCAGAGCAACTGAGCAGTTGCATTAAAACAACGAAATATGGATAATGAATGCACTATCCAAGCTTTCTTTTATTACATGGACTAAGCTTTGATGATCGATTTTTTTTGAGTAAAAAGAATGCATTTAATATAGAGAGGCTTGTTAAACCATTTCATAAGCCATTTAAGCTCTGTTCTCTGTCTCTGATTTTTCTCCCAGTTGCCTCATTTTCATGCTTATCCTTCAGACAGAGAACGAAACCAAGGAGCAGTAGGAAAATGGGCAATGTTATGCCATGCCCTTGCCAATTTCCTTGCTTTGGCTGATGATGAAATACTTGGACCTTGAATCAAACTCTGCCTTTTGTGACTTACTGTCCAGATTCAGACTTGCCCAGATTTAATATACTTGCTTAGTCAAAGAAGACTAACCAGAGAAAAAACAGTTTGATTTTCTTGAAATCGATGGGAGAAATGAAATTCTCCCTTCTTCTTCCCCACCTCCTCTCTACAGTCACCTCTCCAACACCTCCTTGTAAACATGCAACCCGGAGGAGGGAACGGGACCTACTCTAGCCTCTAGAGATGAGCTACCTCAGATGGTACCTCTGCCTAGTTTGGCTGCTTCTCAGGTGCTGCTACTTCTGCCCCTTCTTTAGCTAGCAGAGGCAATGGTGGTCCCCATTGCCACAGTCATCCTCCTGGTGTGCTGTAGAAGTAACATGCTGGAATCAACATTAATAGTATCTGCTACGCCAAAATGCCTCCATCTCTTCAATAGGTGACTGCAAAACAGGAGAGGCTTGTGCATGTGCACACTAATTCCCTCAGCAGTGAAACCTGTTTATCTCTGGCACCTGAAAGGCCTCAGGAGGTACCTGTCTCTCTCAGCAGGCTATAGGGAAGAAGCCCACATTTCTAGTTCAGACTGGACACCTAATTTTAGACATTACGACTCCCATCTAGCTAGCCCGTCTTGAGTCCTTCATAGTGGCTTGTGGCTCTCCTGATCCGAAGTAGAAGTTTACTTACTTTGACTGTTGCCCTACAGTAGGTAAAGTGGGGTCTTACACCAGATAATTCACATGTGGGACATCCTCACTACAACTTCTATGAAGCACCTACGTAGCATTTGCATATAGAAAATTTTGGTTCCCCTTTAAAAGTTTTCAAGAATAGTATTTCAGAATATTTTATTTTTCTCTGAAAAATCAGAACTTCATTTATTAAAAGCTCATTGGCCAACCCATATTAGTCCTTATTTCATTACCTTAAATTCCCAATGGTAATATATACTAACATATAACTGTAAAGTGCCCGGACTGAAATGTAGGCACGTGTTCTTTTCTTCTGCCCCTGCAATAAGGATGGTAAACCTGGCAGAGAGTTGCATGAGCAGCTGGATATGAGGATCTGCCCGCAACTACTAGCACTTGTTGCTTCAGAGGGGGCTGGAGCTTTAATTTTTGTGGCTATGAGAGAAGAATTTTATCTCCATGCCCTACCAGCCTTTGAACTCAGTAGATTGACTAGAGTGTCAATTGATTCTGAATTATCCAGGTAATTTTTGTGTCAACAAAAAGAGATTGGGGATGATCAAGTCATTTAAAATACAGCACGTTATAGAAGACACAGTAATTCCCCTAGGTCAATATTCATCTGGCCTGGATTCTTTTTTTGTTTGTTTTTTTGGTGTATTTCCTTCCAGTGACCAGGATCAAAAGAGAATAGCTGGATTCTTAATAGTATTTTAAAAATATTTTATATTTTATTGCACTATAGTAAATAACTTTAAAAAAAACATATATTTTACTGAGTCCTTTAATTTGTCTTTCCTACTCTTGTGCAGAATTGTAGGTTGAACATACACTGGTTTATATTATGAATATATTATGAATCCACAAAAATGCCTGTGCTACCCTAGAAAAGAGAGTTCTATTGTCCTGTATTGAAATGGCTACAATGCTGGGCTAAAAATATTTGTATAGGCTTATTACTGCAGGAATTGCCATGGCAACTCAAATGACAGTATTAAGAATGACACTATAAGTCCAATACTGCCTTACTTGGAGTTGCTAAAGAATTCAAAAAGTCACATAAAAATAACTTCTTTAGATATTCATATTCAAAGCAGGAAAACGTTCTCATTATTCAAAGTCTAAATCAGAAATCAGAAAGCTGACCATGGTAATGATGGTAATTTGTTTTTCTTCAGATTTCCAGTGCATGGAACCACTAGGTATGGAGTCAGGAGAAATTCACTCTGACCAAATCACTGTCTCCTCCCAGTACAGCACTATCTGGTCTTCAGAAAGGTCCCGACTAAATTACCCTGAAAATGGATGGACCCCAGGGGAAGATTCTAACAGAGAATGGATACAGGTAAAAAGATAATGTTTTAAAGATATTATTAATAATACCTGTGGAGTTCATTGAATGTGGAGAATGCAAAAGAAAGAACAAAATACAACAAAGGACTTCAACATAATCTAAGAATCATTGCAAGTGAATAGATCACATTCCCTATTAGACACACACACACAGACTGACTCCCAGAGGCATAAAAAAAGAAAAGGTCAGGAAGATTAATTCTTTTGCTTCCCACGTCTATTGTTTTTTCAGTCTTCTGGGCACAAATAAGAGATTTTGGTTTAGCAGAAAAGTCAATATTAGTTTAACATGCACTTAAAGTGGAATGTCCCAGTAAACAGAGTATGTGCTGTGTCTCCAGCTGATTATAGTTAAGAATTAATATGTGGCATGGTGTTTTAATGCACTCAGATTTCACCTTAGAAGACCCAAGCCCTTTCTAGAATATGTTACACATTAAATGAGTTTACAGGTCTCTGTGTAGTGGCTCCTCTTCCATATCATTAAACATAACATTCTCCATTAGCATTGGCCGTTTGGCTTTGTTCTGTTAATGTAGCAGAAATCCGGCAAACACTTGTGCCCATGAAGAGTCTCCTTGAGTTCAATCAGTCTACTTGGTCTTGGTGTTTGCTATTTGTTACAAGCCTGTAGGTTTACAGTACGTGATTCCTGAACAGATTGAAGTTATTCATATGAATTACTGTTTACAAATAACTATTTATCCTAATAGGATAATTAATTAATTTCATTAGGTGAAAAAAAAAACAGAGATTTATCTTAACTACATAGGTTAAGTCACATTTCTTCATTGTGATCAAAATTCTATTTTTATTGACAAAAACTGGGAGAAAGTCTTGAGCACATTAGATAAATAATAATAATATTGAAAACTCATTTATATATTTTAAACATTCCTTTTGCTTCTGTTGCTTTCTATAGGAAATTACTAACTGACATATAAAAACAATGCATTATTAGCCAGCAATAAGAATGGTCACATCGGTGTTTCCTGTGAGGTTTGCTGTCTGCAAGAAAGCTTAAAAACATGTTGAGTTGTAGTTAGCAAAGGGAAGAAAGGGGGCGGGGGGGAAATCTTTCATTTCTGATCCTTTGCACACAATGGGACTCTCAGGTGTCCTGCTTTGGGGCCCCTACACATCCTGAGCTCTTGGCAACTTGATAATCATGGTTGAGGGACCTAACCAGGCTCCAGAGCGGCAAAAAAAAAAAAAAAAATCTGTTGATCTTTTTGTCTTACTTAGGAATAAATATTAAAATCTCCCCAGCCTTATCTAAGTGCTAGGCTTGTTATTAATCATTGCTGTTTGAAATCCATGGAATGCATGTGGAAAAAGGGTGGAATGCATCAGAATCGAATTCCATGTGTTCCATCTGGTCATATGGCTGCTTCTTTTTCTTTATATCCTTCTTTTCTGCTGTCACTTATGCATTTATTACTAGATAATCAAAACAAGAGAGCCAGTCAAATTTAATTTGTGTGCTCGATGTGCTCATTAACTTTATTAAGTTATGATAAATACATACATATATAGCGCTTAATCCTTTCACTTAGAACTAGATCTTTCTGAGAAAATGTTTCAAATGACTTTTTTAACCATTAACCTTTTTAATAGTAAACACAACAGAATCCAAGCTACTCTGGTGTTTATGCTTAGAACAGCTGAAAATACCTCAAACCTCCTCATGAATTTCTCAGCCTCCTCTGAAGGACACTTGGGATTGAAGCAACCACCAAGCATAGTTTTCAGCAGCTCTGAGATACCTCTGGCTGCCACATCAGCTGTGAAACTGGTGGAGTCCTTCATAGTCTGTGCTGCTCACGCCACATCTCCAGCTTACTTCTCTCGACCCTAGCTTTGCAAGACAGTGCATGAACTGTTTCCCTCCCTTTCCCTAGGTTTGCTGAGCCCTAAGGCATCTCATCCGTGGCCTACAGCCAAAGCTGAGGGAACAGCATCCCTGGGGATGACTTTGTAATAGCTCAAGTCCAGGCTGTAGCAGTCTTCACTGCAGAGCTGTCTTTTTTCAAGACTGACCTACAAAATCCTGTGTGAAGACTGATGAAATACACATCTTTTATACTAACATGCATGTTGCAGCACTAGTGCTATTAACTCTCCTCATCACTCATCCTATGTAACAGAAATGTCCAAAGTGGCATGTTGTTTTGGGGCTGAGGTATGCCATCACCCAACTTGTACAAGGGACAACATTTGAACTTATCTTCTGTTCCATCTGTGTCAAGAGAATACTATTTTTTTCTAAATATTTACTATAGTTCAATTCAATGCTTATTTAAGCCTCCAAAATGTTCTAGGTGCTTTTATGTTGAAGTCAACTGACAGACGTGAGATAGGTGCTAAGCACTTCAGACCATCAGGGACCTCAGTAACAGGGTCCTTGCATATAAGAACCAATATCTATAAAAGCTTGACACCACTGGCAGGGATCACATCTTGCAAGTTTATATCTGGATAAAATATTGAATTCCTATGTTTCCTCTGTATAAATATCCCCAGGAACAGAAGCTCATCTCCATAAGGACTTACAGACAAACAGCTAAGGACATGCACCTAATAAAATACTTAGAAATTATCAGTTGAAAAAACTCATAGTACTTTATAAAAGGATGAAAACCTTGTTGTATAAGGACAGAGGTCACTTTTTTTTTTTTTCTGTTCAGTGTGCTACTGTAAACTCATCATTTATGTGAGGTATTTGTTTTTAGACAGTTCAACATAAATAGATTTTAGTTGAACAGTGCAAGAGCTCTAGAAAATACTCAACTGCAAAAAAAAAAACAGGCTGACAGATACAGCTATGCCAAACATGGAACTTTTAAAGTGGAACTGCTTTCCTTCCTGAATGTGCCATTGTCTGAGAGACAGAGATTTTGCTTGTCAGTATTTATTAATCTTTCCATAATTGTACATTCCCCATACCTGAACACACACTGCAGCTGATTAAGCTGTGGTCTGCCTTCAAACATTGCATATGCATATGCAGTTTGGTCGTATATATGAGATACATATGGTCATGCATGGGCAAGGCAGCTTGAAAATTCATGGCCAAATGCTAGTTTTCTCAGTGTGTCATTTTTTTGTGTAGGGGAAATATTACAGTTCCCCTTTCCCTTCCTTTTACCCCTCCCTTCAAGGTTAATGTTTTTGCTAAGACAAAAGAAACAGAAAACCTCAGTAAAGTATCAGCAAAGGGAGATTGGTATCTGCAGGGGACGTCTAGAGGGCATGCGATATGATTGTCTTGTTTGAGGTGTTGACGTCTTTTGGTTTTTTGGACCACTTCACTGAAAAGAATTAGGAAAATAGGACTTGCTTGTTGTTGGTAATGGATGTGCATGGATGTGCATGAATTCCATCTGTGGACTTGAAATCCATTCTTTGGTGCAAAAGCTACATAGCTCCTTTGGCTGGCAAGTTGCTAACTCCTAAATTCATCTGAATGCTGCCTGCCTACCAGCCGCTGCTAAATGAAAGCTATCTGTTCTTTTCTTTCCTTGTTTGTTTTGAAATAAATGTCAAAGCTTATATTCAAAATATCAATAGCGCAATCTCGCAATAAGTCTGCCTAGTACTTTCTCTGTGTGTGTGTGTGTTTTTACCCTCACACACACTTTTTTAAACTGCTCAATGAGCTTCAGGTGTGGAGTGACTCCGTAATCGGAAACAGAGTCACTCCTGATTCCATTTCTTCTTTAAAAACACATTAATAAAGTCTGTGGATTTTCTAATATGAATAGAGTAAAAGCAAGACAAGGTTGCCAGAAATAATCATTAAGTTAGTTTATTGTCATATGGGATGTTATAAGCCTCCCAACCTTAAACTAAACTTACTTGTTCATTGCACTTATACTTCACACACTCAGCTGCCCTCAGTGTGAAATAGCATAATTTAAAATAAAAAATAAAAACAGCCCTTTAATTTAATCAAGAGCAGGGAACTGCCATTGAAATATAAGTCATTGTCCCTCATTAACGTATCCTTTCACAGGAAAAATAGTATAACGTTTCCAGTTCTGTAATCTGAACAACAAACATGTTAATAGGTATCAATTACCAGCCAGTTTCAGGACTCAGAACCAGCAAGGCGGCCAGTGCGAGGCTTTCACATCTGGTTTTAGTGAAACTGTTCCTGTCTGTGGTATTTAAAATTTAAAGAACTCCTGTTATTGTGCAATTGGGAATCCTAGGGGAGTACAATGTTAATGAAATCCATAACGTGCAGGGATTTTATGATTGCATTTTCAAGGCATGCCTTCAGAAGGGACGACAGATTTCTGCTATGGCAGCAGTAATTGTGTTTTTACAGAGTAGATTTAATGTTCATGTTTAAGAAAGCAGTTATATTTACGCTTATGTGAAAAGTAACATGTGAAATCCTTATACACGGGGAACCGCTTGTGTTTTGTTTTGAAGTTGTCGCGCACGAGCCATGGTCGGTTCCACGCGACAGGCCTGGGGCGCAGGGAGGCGCCAAGAGCCCCCCGGGCAGCTCTGCCGGGGCCACGTAGACACGTGGCTGGCTCTGGAAAGAGCCCGTTGCCAGATCGGTGCGTCCAGTCCAACACACTTGGGACCAGCGTGCGTGTGGTTTTGGAGGGAGACTGATTGCCTGCTAGCAGGGTCACCGCTAACCCGCACTATCATCAATCCTCGTAGCGGCGCGGGCTGCAAGCCCACAGCGAACAACACCTTCTGCGCGCTTTTACTGCAGAACCGGCGTGTTTTCTATCAAAATGTTTCTCCTAATGCATATAACACAAATCTCTACCCTCCCACCAAGCTAGATGATAGTTTCTGGGTGGTGCAATTTTTCTCTCCTTGTGTGATGCTGAGTGAGGCCTCCAGCTTGGCTTGCTCCTAGCAAGCCTTCAGTTCACATCACGGCTGCGGCTGGACAGAGTGGTGAATGTAGCCTTCGGGACCCTATAGCTGGCAAAAACTTTGCAGTCAGGCCATAAAAAGCAC